ACGGAAAAACTCGCTGGTTTAATTCGTGACATCGGTCCACACATGATTGATGAAAAACTTTATAAAGAGGAACATACATCAGAGGTTTTTAAACTCCAACCAAGTGATTCATTTGTCAGTTTCATCAATCAGCTGTTATTAAAATTTAACAGAAAAAAATCAGGACAAATTTCTCATAGAGCTTTGCGGCAAAACAAATTCAAACTGGAAAGAATTTTTTCATGCTGATCCATCTCCCTGAACGCCTGATTGGATTTCTGAAGCTAAAGCAAGATGACCAAGAGCAAGGAATATCTGTGGTACAGTTGATTGTTGTCAAAATTTAGAAGTTGGACCAACCTGTTAAGAAGTCCAGTGCAGTAAGCAAGGTCTGGCCAACATCTCATTTGGCAGGATCTATACTTACAGGGATGGAAATTGTTTGATATAAGCCCACACTTTATACCTCCTCGATTTAAGGTTGTCTAACATGGACGGTATAATTGGATAGCATATTGTCTATCGATCACCACTGAGTTAAGGGGCTGTTGACAAATAGATTTTGTCCACACACCGATCACAGTCTTGTTACGCGAATGCTTCAACCAACCAACCCCCCCCCCCCCATTGAGGACCAATCCAATGTTTTCTTTAGCCATAAAAGTATCCTGATTATTTTGCCCTTCCCTCATCGCGGAACAAGTCCACGATCGGTGGACGAAATCTATATGTCGACAGCCCCTAAGCATGTTACTGCATGTCTAATTAGGATGCTTTTGTGATCTTTATCAACTCCTGTTTAGTAGACTTTGGTTGAGTTCTCTGCTGTGCATTGAGGATTTTCTTCGGGTACTCAGGTTTTCCTCTCTCATTAAAAAACTAACTTAGATATAATATAAGTCCCAGGAACCTTTGTAATTAGGTTTTAATTAACTGAAACCTATAGTTACAGTTTTCTGTCTGTGGTAAAAAATAAAACTACACTGGCTTTGGAATCCATATATGCAGGAAGTTTTATATATTTGACTTACACCTGAAATGTTTCTTTTGGACTTTGCTGCCACGTAGAGAAATATATTTTCTAGGCCTGTAATAAATACCATATACATATGTTCTTGTGATTTGCGTATTCTGCGACATCTACTTTTATACCATGCCATGTTGTAATGCTGCGAAATTTTAGCCAGTGTGTTAACATCTCGTGGGACTGTTGCCTTTTTGGCAGTAGCCTCTTCTTGCTCGACCACCACCTCTGAATTAATACTTGGTTCTGAAACACAATCGGTGATTTGTTCACTGATGTGAACAGACATCTTTATTCTCACTGACAAATACGGGAATTATATTTAATTTAAGATATCAAATGGGGGTGTTGGCGTTTAATAGGAAACATACAGTGATTTTTTAAAATTATCGACTCGACTCTCGAGTCACCCGATCTGTTGATGTTGATATGATTACTGTAATAACTTGTAACATTTATTATAATAAAACATTAAAAAATACTCACCTTTACAATAACAACAACAACGACAGCACGATCGAAAGATGCAGCCACAGAAAAGAAATATTCAAAAGGAATATAAAAAAGCGACGATTTTGAAGAGATTTTGATACAGTTCGATCGAAGATAACGTGTTTGCAACTGAACACAATCTGAGCACGGTCAATATTCATCGCGGGCGCATTGGCTTACTGCGCATGTGCAGATGAATTAAGATCAATCTAAGCATGATACAATCTCAGACCTCCACACCGGAAGAAGACCCAGCAAACTAGTATAACCATGGCAGTAATTGGGATCAAAATAATCCACAGAATCTCCTCTTTCACACTCGTATATACCTATATATTATTACACATCCTACAAAGTACCACAAGCAAGAGAAAAAGCGGGATTTTCAAAATTAGAATTAGTTACTACTCTTACATTTTTTTGCGCTCGGTAATTAGAAAAATAGTGGACACTTCTAATTGGCGCTTTTGGATGCATTTTTGACAGGCGTCCATGTACACTTCCCATTTTCAGTTTTGAATAAGAGGGTATAGATACAAAATGGTTGGCCGTACAATGCCACACATTGTGATAAACCCAGTCTTATCTTGCAACATGCTTTTGTAAACAATGAGTAAACCTCCGGCGGTATTAGACATTCAGATATAGAGATCATATATACTATAGAGAATATTCGTTTACGCCTAATAATTTGCTTACGCCATGCATAGAGAAATTTATAGAAATGAATAGATTAACATACTATTAATTACAGCGCTCACTATGGCGTTTCGTATTCACTAACGCAGCTAATACCGTATATATTGAGGCCGAATTTCGATTGTTTGCTCGCCTTAGCCACCAAAGGTTAGTGCTTATGTCACAATTTTTTAATTTTTTTTTGAGTAGCGGGCAAAAAGTTAGTTAACAGGTTCTTTAACATGTTTCGTTTTTCTCTTTTCATTCACGAGATATGAGGCTCTAAACAGCGATTTTCGTAAAAATGTCGCGTATCAACAAGATCTGGGACGAGCCTGGTGTGACGTAGCTTAAGGAACTTGTTAAGTTCTAAGATGTTAAGTATTAAGTTGTTACGAGGCTTTATTTAAGTAGTGTAGTGAATCGTTACAATCAACCTCTAATAACCATCAGTTCTTAATATAATGTTCGTCTTCTTGTAGTACTTCTCTAAAGTTCACTTCATTTCACTTTACTCATCAGTCTTCACTTTACTTCACTTTACTGATCAGTCCACTGACGAATCCACTGAGAAATCATCCTCTGAGAATCCACTAGCGAGCCTACGTTTTACTCACTTTACTGTATAGTCCACTGACGAATTTCGGTTGTGCACGCCCTTTTATACTAACGGTTGAGGGATCTTTGTACACGTGATGTAGCAAGTGGTGTGATTTGTATCCAGCGAATCAACGTTGAGGTTTAAGAGTGTGGGTTGGCGTTACTAGCTCGTTCCAGCTCTCACATTGTGTTTATTTAAGGCGTTGTCGCACTTGTCGTGCTGGTTCGCTGTTCAATCGATCATCATTAAAACATGTTCACAACTCAAAATACTTATCAAAATATCATAGTAAAAACTTCAAACCATAAGTTATGTGAACCTTACTTTACCTACCAAACTAAATTCACTTAGAATTTTATTGAACCAAGATTTTGATGACGTAATGTTATCATTACTCAACCGCGCGAAATATACCGAAGAATGAATGACAGAAATGCCCTAAGCATGCACATTTTCATGTCAGAGAAGAACCAGCCTTGGACTTTGAATTATGTAAACACAACAGCCCACCATGCAAGGTTATCGTCCAACTTTAACAAATTATTTATCTTGCCTAATGGACAGATAATTGACACTTTTACACAAGTCCGAAATGATATATACTTTATCTGAGTTTTACAGCAAAAATGCTCATTATCTCTCCATTTGATGTAACTAGTATCTATAATTTCCTGGGGTGCAAATTGAACTATTTTTATACTATTTAACTAGTTTTATACTATTTCGTAACAAAGTGACTAAAATCACGACGGGCATTATATATTTCTTTATATTTTGTATGTTTTCCAGCACTCGTGGTTCTCAATGTGACTCACAATACAATTTTATTCCTGGGTATATTATAGAGGATGAATCAAATGATACCAGTCACGAAATATATTGGAACTCTAGAAGCAGTTGATAGCGAAATTTTAGGCGATTTCATTACGATGCATATTTCCTTTATGCCGATGAACCGCTAGCGAGCCAAGAATGCTACGCGCGATATCTAGACTATGCTGAACACAAGGAACAAAACGAAATGCTACAACGAAGATTAGACGGCCTTGAAGATATTAAATCATGGTGAGCGTAAACATAGATATATTTAACATTTTAACGTAAAATAAGTATCTCTCGCTGATATATTTCTGATGCGGCATCAGTCACATCAAACCACTCAAACCACACTTCCCTCACCTGTATCATATTAATTTCACAAGTGTAAATGCGGCGATTGTATGATAATACAACGAATAGTACGGTCATTTTGTTTAGAAATTTCCTCTATAGTGTTTGCATATTTGATCATACTTTTTCTGACGCAAATTGCTAAACCGGAACCGGGCTATCCCAATTCATTGGCATCTGTTGTATGAAAGGTGGCGGAGGTTCCGTTGTCGAAAATTTTGTTAAACCTGCTGTCTTAGAAAGATTGACATAAATCAATTTGGAACGATTCCCAAATCATCAACGACTCATGCACTAATAAGCATGATACATAAGTGGAAGATAGAAACGGACGGAAGCGGTTCTATGATGCGGAAACTACCTTCGAAATACCAAAGCGAATCATTGGGTGGGTCGTTAATTTTCACAAAGACCGCAAACAGTGCGTCAAGTTAAGCCAAGATTGTCATTCTGAATGGGGTTTGGTTCCGGCAGGCGTGCCCAAGGGACTAAATTGGGTTCTTGGCTTTTCGCTATAATGATAAATGACCTTGAAGTAGCGGATATAGATTTATGGAAGTATGTGGACAATACTACAATCTCCGAGACTGTCCTTAAACATGAAGTCAGTCGCATGCAATTGCAGGTAGACGAGTTTACAATAAAATCAACTGCAAATAGATTTCAGTTAAACGAATAGAAATGCAAAAAGCTTCAAATTACGTACCTTTGCAACACCTGGGCTTACGTTTACATCCGTGTATGTTAATAATAGGCCGATATTCGATGTTGTCCATTCCGCAAAAATATTGGGCATGCGAATTACGAACGATCTTACATGGAATACCCACATTTCAGAGATTGTGAAGAAAGCTTCAACAAGACACTTCTTTCTTTGTCAACTAAAAAGAACAAATATCTGTACAAAGGATTTACCAACATTTTACCTGACCTCCTGTGTGCGTCCTGTGATGGAATATGCTTGTCCCGTTTTCCACGACTCCTTACCCAATTACCTATGCGAAGATCTGGAGAAGTTGCTGAAGCGAGCCCTTCATATCATCTTCCCAACGTTACCTTATGCAGAAGGTTTGGTAGAAGCGGGAGTTGACTCATTATGTATTCCATTTTGTTCTCTTCCTGGAGGATTTTGGTTGACGGATTGGTATATTCTTTATCCCCTTTTATTCTACTTTGACTGCTTTTACTGTTCCCAATTAATCCGTACAACTCTGCTAAAATATTTTCTAAGTCTAAAGCTGTTGGCTTAGCACGAATAAGATAAGGTTGCCTTTCTTGGGACGAAAGTTCATGGACGTCTGCCAAATAATGGTTCGCCAATCTTTTTAAAGCTCGCTTTCCGCCGATGGGACAATCTCTACACTTCCGAGGCATAATGTCAAATGATAAATGTCAACTAAATTCTAACATTAAATAGTTGTGGCCCCAAAGGCCTTTTTGCAGGTTTTCCGGCACTTGGGAGAGTGTCAGGAGAAAATAGCTACCACACAGGATCGTATTTTATTTTATTTTTATAAATCAAACACAAACAACCATTAAGAGTCAATGTCACTAGGATACCGTGTGTTTCTGAAAAGTCTTTTCAAAAGAAATTTTCTCTTGTCGATAGCGGCCTCTAACGCTTTCCTCGGGTCGAATTTATCATCGTTGACAAAGACATCCCTGGTTTCCATAATTTTTGTTATTTATATTTATATTTATAAGAACTGGAGGACCCGCTCCTATCTCTCGTCAGTCAAAAAAGTGTCGCCAAAAACATGGCGGATTTTGACGCCATATGACGCCATTTCCATGGCAACTGGTCCGAAAACCTCGTGGTAGTTACCACTGACCAGGCTCAATTCTGAGCCTACGGCAGTTTTCACACACCCCTGTTTTTTTTTGCAAAGGATTTGGTTGCCCATGGAACTTTTAAAGCAGTTTAATGAAAAAATTTCTAAGCAGCATTGTATGTATACCTTTAAGACAGGAATAAACCTGCAGCGATCAGTGATTCTGATGCAATGTTCAAACCAATTTATACTTATCAGCTACAGTTGTCGAGCTGTAGTTGCAAATTAATTCATGTAAATATTTTAAGGTAAAGCCTATAGTAAGGTGTAAGGGTAAATGTCAGGATTTTGGGCATCACACTCAACAGAACGTTAAATCGAAGTTACTAGACGAATATATTAAGTGTGAATTTTATACATATTTAGAACTAATCAACCTAAAAATATATAGTTGCATCCTTTTCAGCTGCTTTAACCAGGTCTAAAAATGTATAAAATTTACACTCAAAATTATCATCTGCAAAAAGCCTTCAACATTTAGTGATGTACATCAGCGTTGCCATGTATAACCCTTTTCTCACCAAACATGCACTTAGGCTACTGCATGTAATAATTGGTGGTCATCATTAGAAATATTTGCAGAAGAATAGACATTACCTCTCAATTCTATGTTTTTCTCGTACAGAATACATGGTCTGCTTCATTAAATTAATATGTAATTTTTAAATTAATAATTAAACTGCTTTATATTTTTTAGACCAAGAAGTGTTCATTTAAATTAAGGGAGAGGTTATTGTCAGTGGCAAATTTGACTAAGGAATCTGATGCATTGGTGGAATATTGCCTGTGGTCATGAAATTATACTTCAATGGTAATCAATGCTGCAATACTCAAGGTCTGAAAATTGGAGGTTTTGTATCAACCTCTGCTAATCAGCAGGGATCAAAAGACGTGCTTAAGTAACACTACTAGTACTAGTTTTGTAAAGAAAGTGAAACACTCTTGATGAACTGAGGCAATTAATGATAGTAATTCAGGCATTTTTGAGAACAATTTTTAAAAATGTACTTGTTTTTAAAATGTAAATTTATATTTGACTCATAATTTTCTCAGAATCAATCCAATATCCATCACTACATTAAAAACATTTTCAGAGGTCAAGTAACTACCAATGATTTGAGCTCTGGGTTTGGAAATAGAAATCACAAAATGTTAACGAAAATTTTATATATTTACATAATATGTACTGTAATTTAGTATTTATGACAAAAAGTATTTAATATAATCATTGAAAATTGTATTGAATTGAATTACATTAATAAGGGGGCATTCATTATTGATTCGGGGGATGTAGGCGAAACTGGGGGGACCTGAGATTTTCCCATATCAAAAGGGGGACTGCAATTCTGGTAAACCAAATTCTGGGGGAACCTGACATTGAAGGAAGCCACATCTACAAATTTCAAAAATCATGATGAGGGTGAAAACAAAAAGAGATCAGATTTACATAAACTTCATCTTTGAATTTATTCATGAAGTTATCAAATACATCATTTCTGAAGTTAATCAAAACACTCACAGTACATGTTTCATCAGATTTATTAAAACACTTGGGTATTGCCTTGTGTTATAAATCTGATAAAAGGTTGCTGTTGGCGCTTTGAATATATTTTAATACAATATAATAACTGAGTTTCTTTTCTGCTCTCTCAGTCCCTGCTGTACAAATATAATATTGTACAAACATGTACATACTACATTTAGACACAAGATGTACATTTAGATTTAATGTAGTGTGAATTAAAAAATTAAATGTGTCTGCGTGTAGTACTCTTTACTGTCAATAAAAAAGAGTTGCACCATATTTATACTTGACTACAATAATTGGTGAGTGACTAATTATTATCATAACTTCAATTTGTTCGTCTCTATTTTGGTATCCTGTGCCATCTCTTCTTGGTTACTAATTAACTCATGACGAAGGGCCTTCGCTCGAAACGTCCAGTTTCTGCTTATTTTTTAAGGTAGTAATATAACCACTCAGCACAGCATTTCTACATTGGTACTACCTACACTGGTACAGACAGTTCCAGTATACATCTCTTCTGGTACCTGTATTAAGATAAATCCTGCCAAAAAGAGAATATTATTATACCACAATCATGTTATTATACATCTTTAGTAATTAACAAAAATATAATATGTATTACATATATGTTAACCCTTTAAGTGGCAATGCACCCCAATGTACTTTAGAAGAGAGCACTGCCACTCAGTGAGTTAATCAGACAATCTTCTGCATGATTATTCATAACTATTTTAGTTGTCAAGGGGAGAGTGCTCATGGCACTCAATGGAATATAAATCAAACTATCTGCATACCCAACGTGCCCAACTTTAGTTAATATTACTCTGTCCAACACCAGATTATTTTACTCGATCTGTATAATGCTAGACAATTTTACTTGTCAAGGGGAGAGCACACTGGTGCTCCATGGGTTAAAGCATAAAATTTTAAAATAATACGACATTTAACAACATAAAGTGCATAGTCATATGATGGCAACCTAAATAAGTGACCACCACTGCCCTACAACCCCATAATATAAACACTGCTACAAAAAGCCTGGCAAAAGTAGGACTTGCTTGTCCAAGCTCAGTGAGACTCCCTCAATGTGGGTAAATGCAATGCAGCCTTGTTCACAGGACATAAAGTCTGCGCAGTTTCTGGTCTATCACTTGCTGTTAAACCTATTGAGAGTGATTGTTAAATCTACCTCAAAAGAAATTTTCAGTTATACCATATCTTCTCTAAAACACATAAGCAATCATGCTTATCCAAATTTGCACACTGCTTTGAACACTCCCAGGTCCTGGGTATTTTGTTCCCTCTGTCCCACACTCTCTGTCTTTCTGCTTATCTATATATTAATCCCGATTCACACCATATATAATCTGTACGACCGTGTGAGCAAGTGAACAACCATAATTATTATAAATTTATATTAAAAACTGGCAATAAATACACAAAACAACATAATTTCATGTCCACAATTTTCAACGATTATAACTCCAGTTCCAGAGGCTCTTTAATGTGTCTGCTATTGAAATATTTGCTGTATATATATATATATATATATAAAACTTACTGATCAAATATTGTCAAACATGGATCAAGATAATGTTACTGGCGTCTTGTTTATAGACTTTAAGAAGGCGTTTGACATTGTGGACCATCAAATTATGCTAAAGAAACTTAAACTATACAGAGCTAGTGAGTCTACCCTTCAATGGTTTAAATCGTACCTTACCAACCGATCGCAATTCGTTACAATTGATGGTAAACAATCTCGACCACAATTTGTAACACACGGCGTACCTCAGGGATCTGTATTGGGCCCTATTACACAGTGGACAAATATCCCTTCCATGGTTCAAGATTTGAAAAAAGACCTTGATAGTATATGTAATTGGTCCATTAACAACAAAATGGTCATCAATACGGAAAAGACCAAATCTATGCTTGTTACCGGAAAGCGTTTAAGGAAGAAAATACCAGACGAACATGCAGTGAGGGCTATCAAAGACTGGAATACTATTAATGTAAAAATCAGGAATTCTGCAAGCCTATACAGTTTTAAACATAGACTATACAAGGACTTTTTAGATGCTCAAAAACTTTCCTAATTTTAAAGTACTTAAAACAATTAATTTTAATTTGTAGTTATTATAATGATTTTTCACTTCATGTATATATATTTTAATATCCTTAGACTTAGAAATACTGTAAGAATGTTACCAGAGGACCACGGAGTTATCAGTATTCGTACTGTCAAGTGTCATCCTCTATAAATAAAGTCTCTTATCTTATCTTATCTTATCTTACAGAGATGAATGGCTATGATTGTTTCAATTTTACAGAAAAACATTCTTACGAAGTGTAGACTCTAAGCAACCGAAAAATGTCAAATTTTCACTTTGATCTATCATTAAAACTTTCCCAAGGGGAGGTGCAGGACTTTTCAGGGCAGGTGCAAAAGGTCTCAGGAGGGGGGGTGCAAAACGATCTCACTCTCAGGGGAGGTGCGCACCTCCCAAACCTCCCCTCAAAATCCGGCCATGATTCCACTAAAGAACCTAATCAAACGAGAATGACAGTTGACAGTCACACATTTTAAGCTCTAGATTAACAAAATAAACTATAGATCTTGAACGGGACTTCAGTAGCGTAATCGTCAGAGCAAGGCACTTTTCGTGGGTACGATTCCCGCTACGGATTCATGACAATTATGTGAAAAGAGTCGGTCAACGCTCTACCGAAAATCGTGGGTTTTCTCCGTGTGCTCCGGTTTCCTTCTAGCTCCAACCTGACCCTTCCACCGTAGCGGTGCTCCACAAATTATGCTGTATACCTTTCTTATTGCTGTGTGCATTCTGTTCCTTTTTTATAGGAGGAATCTTAGCTGACGTTTTCATCCCGCTGTCGCTGCTGGAGCTGGCGGAACTGCTAAATCTCTTTCCACTTTCGTTACTGCTGTGACTTCCGGAACTGAAGAGTAAGTCGTCTGACATCACACCACTTGTACTACTGGATGAGCGCGGATCTGTGGACGAGGGTAACTCCAGTTCTCCACCGAGGTCAATCAGAGGACCATGGTTGTTTGGTGGTGAGAATGAGTTACGGGTAACTGGGGTTTGATGCGAGGGGGTTAAAGACATTGAGTTGGTAGACGGCCTTAGACCCGAGGGTGGAATCTCGGAGGGTGCTTGTTCCGAGGGGTTCCCTGGTACCTGGTGTATCGGGGCTGGTTGCTCTGGTAACCGCGTAATCACTCTTGTGAAAGGATCATTCTGGTACACATTCGGAGTCACGGAATCGAAGTCAGAAAACGGGTCAACGCTTTGGGCAAAGGGGTTGGTCGCTGTGGGTTTAGAAGGCATGGGAGGGCCCTCTGTTTGTGCAAACGGGTTGGTAGGTGGGTGTTTTGGAGGGAGGTGTTTGGTGCGGACAAAGAAATCAACGAAGCCAAGATCTGAAAGGGCATCGTCAGCTGAGTCAACATCCTCGGGTTTCTCGTCATTTTTCATCTCAAGATGAGTCGCTGCGGTATCTTCCGATTCTGGTAATTTTTCATCTGAAGATGAGTCACTGTGGAAGAAAAGTTTATATTGATACAATACAATACAATAGCATCGCAGTATAAAGGCTTGGTAACTAGCGCGGCCAACGAGTCTTGTGTAATTCCAACGCGTACAGTAGTCGACGATTCTACGACGGAATTTTGTCAATTTCACGTTGTGATCATTACGCTGCGAATTTCCGTGAGTATCGAATACTCTTACATTCAAAACGTGAATTTAAGTTCCTAACTTTTTATTTTTGATGAAGTAGTACCTTTAATTACATTTTTTATTGTGTTTAAACAAAAATTACAAAGATTTTGAAAAACCTATAATTTTCGCGCCAAAATAAGTTAAGCGAAAGGTAAGTTAAGCTGTTTAACATTTCCTGCGAGCAGTGCTCGCCTATCTTTTCCACACCTGCCCTATCGATCCGAAGCCTTCAAAATACAGTAGCGGCTGTGATGTATGCACCACATATGAGTATCCACGTTCTGATGCTAAGATACATATAAGTAAATACTTACTTAGAGTCACTGTCAGATGGTTGAGAGTTTTCATTGATTTCGTTACTGATATGGTCCGCCATTGCCTCTTGTATGGTACTTTTGCGTCTTGTTTTGGGAGTTGGCATACCAAGTACCTACATATTTTAGTTCATTTAATAACTGGACCCATTTATACAAGATACATCCACCCTAGGGATGTTCGGCATACCAATACACCAAAAATACCGGTATTGGATCCAATATCGGTACATGTTGGTATGACTTTTTCGGTAATACCGATATACCAAAATTTCTGGCATACCAAAATTTTTCGGTATACCAAAATTTACATGGCAAAATCATGCAAACCTTTTCCTCTTGTAGCATTCCAGGACATTCGATGGTCGGAACCCCCAATGAAATCACCAATACAATTTCATTCTCTTGAATAGATTTATCAAATGCTTGTAGAGTATTGTGCAATTCATTCTGAACGTCAGTGTCTTGTGTCGAGAACGACATTTTGGCGAGACTTGAAGTGACCAAGTGAGTTCCTTCAAGATTGTTGAGGAGTTTATCCAAACTGCCATGGTTGATGATTTGCTCCAATTTACGACGTTGGGGTTGACTTGAGACGTATTTAAGTTGGCAAAATAGATTCACCTGAAAAATTATGAATAGAAAAAATTCTGAAATCACTGACCAATTCTGACATTACCCGGCTATCTAATGGCCCATTTATACAATATGACTACACACGTAAAAATCTCACATCTTGTAACAAGTCTGCCAACAAACTGTCAACAAGATATATTTGCACTGCTTGTCACAAGTTGTCAACAGGTTTGGAACAACTTGTTGACAACTTGTAACAACCTTGTCGAACTTATCAGACTTGTTGCAAGGTTGTTCTGACAAGTCCGTTACATGCTTGATATAACAAGATTGTTACAACCTTGTGTTGACAACCTTGTGTTGACAACCTTGTGTTGACAACCTTGTAACATCCTTGTTATATCATGGCTGTAACGAACTTGTTAGCACAGTCTTGTAACAAGGCTGATAATGCCATCAAGCTTGTTACAAGTTGTTAACAGCTTGTTTCAAACTTGTTACAACAAACTGGGAACAAGCAGTGCGAACACAACTTGTTGACAGCTTGTGAACAGACTTGTAACAACTTGTTTGCAGATTTGTTACAAGCTGTGCGTTTTTACACTTGTATCTAATGCACTATTTATACAATATGACTAGTTGTATACGATTGTCATTCTGGCGTACGATAACGACTGCTGACACCTCTATTCCTGTTCATCAGTTTATGGTGAAACTTGACATCTTTGCAGGCATTTATTCAAGAACATACACCAGGATAAGAATCTTATGACTACTTCTACATCAATAAAATCTACAGGCATGACATGTGTTGTTTACTTACCAGTGAGTCTAAATCAGTCTTTGTTATGAGTACAGACGTCCGAGCAATGCCAGGCATGCTATCTTTATCTGATAACGTCACATCACCATGTTTTGGAAGTTGTTCAACCAAGTTGTTCACAATCTCATGTAACGGAGCCTAATTATCACAGTGAAATAAAGTACAGTTAACCCATTGAGCACTCTCCCGTTGACGAGTAAAATCATCTGGCATTACAGGGCTCGAATTAATTCTGAAAGAATGGTTCGTGAATTATTTTTTTTATTTTAAGGAAATTTTAAGGAATTTTCTCTAATTGGAAGTTAAAAAGTGGAAGCACTGCAATTTTCAAAAATATAATATACATCGCAAACTCGCAAGGAAATAGAATTTTGGGTCGAATTATAATCGTTTTTAAGTACAATCTAACAACAATGTCTTCAGAATATATAATCCTTCATCACATTTACAAAGAACTGAATTTATTATTGTATATTTTTATCAATTTGACTATTTGAGAGACTTTTGATTCGTGATTTTGATCAATTTCTATGAAATTGGGTTCGTGAAAAATGAAAATTCAGGGCTTTCCAACTCAGAAAATTGCGCGCGCGGACAATCGTGCGGGCAAATCAAACTGCGCGCGCGATTATTAGTCGTTTATTTTATACGCAGATTGATCTAGACAAAACAATAACACATCAAGCAGGTCATGTCAATGCAGTTTTGCGCGTATGTTAAGCCTAGTTCTCATTCATCGCAAACCGTCGGCGATGGGAGCTTTGCGACGTTGGCGACCGCTTGCCATTTAAGCCTAGTTCTCATTCATCGCAAACCGTCGGCGATGGGAGCTTTGCGACGTCGGCGACCGCTTGCCATTTATGAGAACACATCAAAAATTATATCGCCGATTGTCCGTAATCGTCGCCGACCATCGGCGATGACATCGCAGGAAACAAAAAAGTTTGTTTCTTGCGACCATCGCCGACTGCCACCTGCTTGAAAAATCTATGAGAAATGAGTAAAAGTTGTTTTTTCCTCCACAAGCAAGGAAATAATCAATTGAAGTTTGACAGAAATAATGAACTTTACGTTGAATGGGGCCATTTTGTAGGAAATTTGGGAAATTTCGAAACACATCGGCTGTCATCTGCGACGATCACCGATGTATGAGAACTTTCGTGCATTCGCGCTCGGCGAGTATCGGCGATAAGCGTCGCCGATCGTCAGTGACAGTTTGCGATGAATGAGAACTAGGCTTTAGCATGCAAATATTGACTTAATAAAGCGGAATGTGTATAATTCAACTTCTGAGAACGTTACAACATAAGAAATTGAAGGAAAAAGCACAAATGCTCGTGATAAAATTTATACATCATGATTTCAATGTTTCTGGAAGGATACATATCATCAAGCTTAGTCAGGGCCACAGAGAGGGGGGGGGGCAAATTGCCCCGGGCCCAGAGTTGCTGGGGGCCCCTGAAAAATTTTTGTTGGGCCCCAGCCTTTTTTGTGTGTTAAATATTTCCGCGCAAAGGACAAGAATCTGTTTTCTTGGTTTAAGTACCGAATTTTGGCATAAAAAAATGAGATAAAGTCCCTCGAAAGCAATTGCAACGTACTTGTCCGGAAAAATTTTG